AATTGAGCTAAAAAGCCAACTGGGAGCAGGCCATCAAATTAATTCGACATAAACCCGTAGATGATAAATCAAACAACAAATGTATATGAAATACATATATATGAACTGCGGTTATGAAACGTATATGTGCACGATCCTTCGCAGTAAAGCACTATTTAAGCAATAGTGAATATCAGACCAGAAAAAAATTCAGGCCTATATACCCTTCAATTGAAGCCATTTGAGCGAATTTCGCGAGCAGTTTGTTAGTAATTTGAAAGTGTTTTTACGAAATTTTTCGACAGCTGTTTTTTAAAAATGGCGTCTGCTTCCTGTTCTCATTATTTAGAAGGTGAAGAGTTGGATTTTTTAGCGTCAGACGAAGAAGAAATTGAATTTGAAGGCTTCGATGTGGATGAAATGCCACTTTCGTTCTTTGGACGTGGAGACCACGAACAAGAATCTGACAGCGAGGAAGATGCCAGCTTATATGTCCATGATGAAAGTGACGAAGAAGATAGTGAGAGCGAATCATCTGACACGGAAGAACTAGTTTGGAGCGAAAATCTGACACCTCAGACCGATATTCCCTTCGATCAACGATGCGGTCCAGTCAGAAATTTACCGGCCGGCAAGAAGGCGATCGACTTTTTCGAGTTGTTTTTCACCGAACGTCTATATCGCTTGATTGTCCGCGAAAGTAATAGATACGCTCGACAGGAACAACAGCGTTTGGGCAAAGACCTTTATTGGAGGGAGCTGACAATCGATGAGTTTTGCACATGGCTTGGTTTATATTTTGCAATGGGACTCGCTCAAAAACCGTCGATCTCTGCTTACTGGGAGAGAAATAAAATAACATCAACTCCTGCCTTTAGAAAAACCATGCCCAGGCAACGGTTTGAAAGCATTTTACGCTTTTTACATTTTGTTGACAATAACTCTGCCCTGCCACACGAAGAGGAACGTGACCGATTGTTCAAGATAAGACCGGTTATCGAGGAACTACGTCGTCAGTTCCAGATAAATTATGTCCTCTCCAGAGAGGTTTCAATCGATGAAACAATGGTGAAATTCAAGGGGAGAAAGTTTTTCAGACAATTTCTTCCAAGCAAACCCATCCGATTTGGTTTCAAACTGTTTACGCTGGCGGAGTCCAAATCCGGATATATCTGGAGCTTTGAAATTTATACTGGTTGCAAAGGGGAGGCAGAGGAGAATCAAACAAAGAACGTTGTTGTTCGCCTCATGAGCCCACTTGAGGATAAAGGCTACCGACTATTTACTGACAATTTTTACACTAGCCCTGATCTCTATTTTACTTTGAGGGAACATGGTATTCAAGCTTGTGGGACTGTCAGACCAAACCGGAAGGACCTGCCAAAGGAAATCATGGACCATAATGGCCCTCTTGTCAAAAACTTACCCAGAGGTGCTTCCCTGTTTAGGCAAAAGGGAGACCTTATTGCAGCAACATGGGAAGACAAAAAGCCTGTTCATCTTATATCAACTGTTCCTGTTGGAAATGCTATGGACACAGCGAAGAGGAAGGTCAAAGAAAATGGCGCTTGGGAGGAAAAGGAATTTCAGTGCCCAGCTGCAATAAAGATGTACAATGAGCATATGGGGGGAGTAGACCTGGCAGATCACTGCATTGCAACCTACAAGAAGCACTTGAAGACATCTACTTGGTATTTGGCTTTATTCTATCACTGCCTCGAGCAAAGTTGTCTGAATGCATTTATTGTGAAGCAAGCTACCCCCGCCCATGTCAGGCCAAAGCATTCACAACTTCAATTTCGTGAAGACCTGATGACACAATTGATTGGGGGAAGGTCATATGTAAAGAAGGCAGGCAGGCCCTCAACACCTGTGGTTGCTGAAGCCAGGTTTGACCAAAGTCAATTTCATCATCTGGTGAAAACTGACAGGAAAAGAGCCTGCATCGTACATGTACAGGAAGTCCGCACAGTGTATCAGTGTGCTGTCTGTGAGCGGCCAATGTGTGTGGAACCTTGTTTCTTGAGTTATCACACTCTTCAGGATTTCAAATTCAATGATCCCTCAAAGACAAGATCAAAAAGTGGAACCAAGCGAGCAAGACAACATGTTGACTAAATATATACATTTTCATTACAAGATTTTCTGGAATGCAGTCTTGTTTCCATGGCAACCAACTAGAAATAAAACTGTTGGTTTAAAATAGCCATTAGTAAATTTTAAAGAGTATTAGACTTGTTTCTGGTTCTTTTCTGCTAAATTTGCTGAGTAAAAGTGCTGTTTTTGAATTTGTAATTTATAGTATTATTGCACAATATTTTTTAAATCTTTGCTGCAATTGTGGTTGGAGATACTGAGTAAGCTTAGTCAAAGAACCAATTCTGTGAAAACATTTTCAAAGTGTAATCTCTGAACATTGTTTTAGACATAAATATGATAAGTTTTGAGCACTTTGGACAAATCTGTAGAGCTTTTACCTAAGCTGGTGCCTTTTTTGACAACAAATATAGCTGTTCAATTTGATTGACAGGAGTCATATTCTCCATGGCAACATACAAATAGTGTAAATAACCCATCTTTGGAAAGCTGAACTTTCCAGGATCACAAAAACATCTATTTAAAACCACTTTCTTGTTAATCAAGATCATAAATGCTTGCTTGTTTTTATCCATGACAACCTTGATCTAATTTTCCTGAAATAATTCGGTAGGGAAAGGGTTAACAGAGTGACTTGTGTACAAATAATATTTTGACTAGCCTGCTTGCGGGCAGTAGTTTGTGTTTTCAAGTGCGAGATTCAGCTCAGCGAATATTCAGTCCAGGTTCAAGCCCTGCATGGCCAGGAACATTGTGTTGTTCTTAGGCAAGACACTTTACTCTCGTCCGAA